TTCGAAAGCTCAGAACAATAAATCAATTGATCTGGTGCTCGACACGCCCTCTACCTCGTCCATAAAACTACCTGGATCGCGAAGCTTCTCATTCATTCGAAAGGCAAGACTGAATGTGTGCTTCACCGATCTAGTAGAAGAACAGTTAAGTTCCGCTTTGCCCAGGAGCCCACAACGTGAACCCGCCAGCCCGTCACATAGTGACTAGGATGATATGATGAAATAGATCCGAAGAAGCAAAAGGAGACCGAAATGGTCATTTCTGGCTTGTTAGCCGTCATCAGTCAGTCCTACACAATCTCAAGGGTTGGAACTTACGAGATTTGAACGCTTGACCTTTGGTCATTGAGTTCAATACTTTACCACGGCACCACGGGCTCCTTGCTTTGTCGGTTGAGATGATGAATAGGATGAATATGCAAATCTCGGTTCAAATCTCGGGGGTTCCAACCCTTGAGACTGGCTGATGACGGCTAACAAGCCAGAAATGCCCATTCCTGTCTCCCTTTGCTTGGTCGGAAACATTTCATCATAGCATCATAGTCACTATGTGACGGTCTGGCGGGTTCACATTGTAAGCTGCTGGGCGAAGCGGAACTTAATTGTTCCTCTACTAGATCGGCGAAGCACATAAATTCATCATGTTCCCGATCTCAACCGACAAAGCAAAGAGCCCATGGTGCCGTGGTAGAGTACTGAACTCAATGACCAAAGGTCCCGGGTTCAAATCTCGGGGGTCCCAACCCTTCAGATTTGGCATGACTGGCTGATGACGGCTAACAAGCCAAAAATGACCATTCCGGTCTCCCCTTGCTTTGTCTGATCCATTTCATCAAATACAAGAGTGACAGAAATGGTCATTTCTGGCTTATGAGCGGTCATCAGGCAGTCATACCCAACCCCAGGTGGTGCACCACTTGAGTTCCGAACCCGCAACCCCTTGATCAGAAGTCCAACGCTCTAACCATTGAGCCACGGGTTCATTGTCTTGCCGGTTGAGATTAGGAGTACTGGCATTCGAGGAATAACGATTACCGATTGCTAACCGAACTCACTCGGCCCGTTCTGCAAGCATCTGCCTAGCAGGTCTTAAATTGCTCGGGATTCTGCTGCACTATAATAAATATAAAATTTCAATTTAAATAATCCTTCCCCACCTAAAACGCATTTTAGAAGTTATGTAAGCATTTAATGAGATTGGTCTACGACGGCGGGGTTAAACCTGTAGACCGGCTTCCTTAAAATCGCATACCATTCGCCGTTCTCAAACTCTCTCCACAAATTTCGTTAATGTGCTCACTAAAAATAATTTTGTTATCCCGTTCAAAGTATTTATCATAGCAGGCTGTGCTAGGCGCAGCCGCAAACGACTCGCTCACTCGCCGACCTGATGACTCATCCCACGCCGCATTATCGATCGGCAGATAGGCCGTGCGCGTAAAAATATCGCACAGGCCGCCGATGGGATTAGTGTTCGGCCCAGTCACTTGGGTGAGCCGTAAAGCCAGTCGACGTGCCCACCCCTCAAGGACACTTTTTGGATTGGTCCAATTGCAGTCCGACCTTGTACGTACGCATATGCTCCATTTTGGCCTTAAATACATTCTACAAACTACGTAAATACACTTTCATTCTTGCGTCCCGTGTTGTTAAATTT